TTCATCTCCCTCAGCTCCTCGGAGAACCAAGGAGCTGGGCAGGTTCGGCATCGGGTCAGAGGCCGCAAAGGCACAACTCGGTCCAGAGCACCGTCGGCCGTCCTATCCCAGGCAGCCACCAGGTCTTCAGCCAAGTCGTGAGCCAGAGTTTCAGGAACTGGCCCAAGCTCCCTCTGGAACCTATCAGGATCCATCAGGCGCCTGGGGCGGAACCACCTGGTCAGTTCCGCCTCCCTGCAGTGGGGTGCAGCGGTCAAAAAGTCCAGCCTCAGGAGAGAATGGTCTGACCATGACAGGGGTTCAGTAACTATATCCCCTATATCCAGACCACTCAGCCACTGACCAGAGATAAAAACCAGGTCCAGAGTGTGTCCTCCCGCGTGAGTGGGGCCATGAATGAATTGTGTCAGGTCCATGGCTGTCATGGAAGCCATAAACTCCCGAGCCATTCCAGACACCTCACCGGCAGACGGCAGGTTGAAATCCCCCATGACCAAAAGTCTGGAGGTATCAACCGCCACCCCGGCAATAACGTTGAGAAGCTCGGGCAGGGCCGCTGTCATGTAGCAGGAAGCCAGGTACGCGATCAGCAGGCCCACCTGCATCCCATGGCCCCACTTCACCAGGAGAGACTCACAACCGGCTATCTGAGGTACAGTGGCCTCCCTCGGATCAAGACCTTCCTTTATAACGACCGCCACCCCCCCACCCCTGCCCTGGGCCCTTGGCTGATGGAATGCACGGAAACCTGGTGGGTACATCTCTACGAGGGGGACTCACCCTCTTGGCCCAACCAGGTCTCTGTAATACCTGCCAGGTCTGCACCCCCCTCCTGTATTAGCTCACAAATGATACAGATAATCCTCAACTTACAACAATTTACTGAAAAATGTGACTTATGACTGTTTTTCACAGTTATGACCATTGCAGCATCCCCATGATCATGTGACCGTTGAACCAGCCTGCACAAATAAGAAATAGGCGGGTTTTGAGGAAGCCAGCTCCTGAAGCTTTAACCAAAAGTACCATCTTTTTTTTTTTGCAACTTTCTTTTTGTAACAAAACTCTTTAATTTTAAAAAAGAAACTTATTAAAATTTTAAACTGACAAGCTAAAAATGCAAACTAAGAAGGAAAAGGGGGGAAAAGCTACTTATATTTTATTCTTATCAATAGTCACTGGTTAAACAATGAATTGACTACTGTAACACAAACAGTATAAGATATCATTGAAAGTTATGAAAGAATCTCTACCGTACAGGTAGACCTCGACTTACAATCATTCGACAATTGTGATTCTTCGGAACAGGGTCCAATCAGAAACCTACGCCTTTGGTTAATTATCAGGTGTCTATTTGCACCAAGTTCCCTTTGTTGCAATTTAGCGTATTTCCACTTCTCCATGCAAAAGCTAAAATTTCAAAAGTACAGCAGACTGACATGGTCTCTCAATGCAGGTAGTTCTCAAGGGATTTTCTGCCTGGTTGCTGGGTGGGTGTGGCCATGGTGGGTGTGGCCTAGTCGGGCTCCTGTACCACAGCCGGGGGGGCGTGTTTTTGCCCTCCCCGGGCTCCGGAGGCTTTCTGCAAGCCTCTGGGAGGGCAAAAACAGCCTCCCCGGGCTCCGGAGGCCCTCTGGAGGCCATAAATGGGCCCAGTTCCAGCCTTCCCAAACTTCTGGTAGGCCCGTTTTTTGCCCTCCCTGATCCTCCGCGCATGCCCTGCACTTACCTGGATCCAAAACGGGCCGCTTGGGGACTGCTGGGAGGGGTGGGGCAGGGTGGGCAGGGCCAGCCAGTGGGATTTGTGGGTTCTCCAAACTGCACAGAATCTTATCTAGAGATACTCCCAAAGACCTGGGAACCCCCAGCAGCCCATCCCTGATAAGGGATAGGAGGAGAGAGAACCGGGCTGCCACTTCTTTTAAAGAAAAAAACCACCCCTCTCGTTTCTTCCAGTGTGACATTTCCTCACACCCCAAGCAAACTGCAGAACTGGAAGCCTGCATGATCACAATGGAAAGGAAATGTTAAAGCCCTTTGAAATGTATTCGGCCCTTCTAACCTGAATCAAACCATCTGTGTCTGCTATTTATTCTGTTTGGGGAGAGAATATGTCTTTGAAGTGATAGGCAAAGAAAGAAAGCACAGTCCTTCCCACTGTCCAGGTTCTGTTCTTCCTGATTCACTTTCCCTTGAAACTTTCCTTTACTGGAGGAAAAAAAGCTGGCCTTTATTTCACAAGGGGAGAAGCTGTTTAGGAACAAGGTTATGGGGAGCCATTTCCACTGAATGATTCCAGCGGTTATTGAAAAGTGGGCGGAAGCAAAGATTTCCAGATAGGCAATGTGCAGATGAAGAGAGAAGCATCAAATGATTGGCTTGAAGTCCAAGGATGTAGAGAGCAAGATCCATCCACAGCTAAAGATAAAACTCAGATAAAACACTTGAGCACAAAAGAATCTCTAGATTTGTTTCTGGTTGAAGACTTTGTCAAGAAGAAATATAGACTTGGTCATTTGCAGACAATCTAGAGAACTCAGTAAATATCTACTTTTGACTCATCATCACCATCATCATCATCATCAAAAAAGGAGTGCCAATCTTGAATCTCATATCTTGCAGTGGAATGGGCTGATTTGTTTGAATCCCCTTCCCTGTAGAACAGAATTTCTGAAATTCTGGCTATTTAACATTCTTAAATAAAGTGGGGGAATGGGCCTATGTTGTTGTTAGTTGTGAAATTGTGTCCTATCCATCGTGACCCCATGGACAATGTTCCTCCAGGCCTTCCTGTCCTCTACCATTCCCTGGAGTCCATTTAAGATTGCACCGACTGCTTCAGTGACCCCATCCAGCCACCGTGTTCTCTGTTGTCTCCTTCTTCTTTTGCCCTCAATCTTTCCCAGCATTCAGCTCTTCTCCAGTGAGTCCTTCCTTCTCATTAGGTGGCCAAAGTATTTGAGTTTCATCTTCAGGATCTGGCTCTCTAAAGAGCAGTCAGGGTTGATCTCCTCTAGGACTGACCGGTTTGATCAGTCAGGGACTGACTGCAGTCCAAGGGACTCGCAGGAGTCTTCTCCAGCACCAGAGTTCAAAGGCCTCAATTCTTTGGCGCTCAGCCTTTCTTATGGTCCAACTTTCACAGCCATCCATTGCAGCTGGGAAAGCCATAGCCTTGACTATATGCACTTTTGTTGGCAGGGTGATGTCTCTGCTTTTTAGTATGGACCTATACCAATATCTATCTGGAGTGCATATCTCAATTCTTAAAGCCCCCATAAAAGCAAGCAAAAGATTCAGATCAGGTATGACAGGAAATTAATTCTGAGACAAACTGCATTCACACCCTTCTCATGAAACATTACAAAAAGATGAAGCTTTTGAATGGGGTCTCTCCAATGACTGCACCCGGGCAACCTTTGGTATTTAGCAGTGTGAAGGGCTGGCAATGGCGTGCCATAAGGCTGGTGCCCTCTTGAGATGCATACAAAAACATGCTCAGTGCCGCATGGTAATCAGCTTTCAGATATTCTATTTTATTAATATGCATGGCTTGTCTAACTAGATAGAATTAAATATGCTGACTGAAAGAGCTCGTGGAAAGAAATGATAAATATTAGAAATTTAGATAAGCAAGCAGGTCCGGATCCAGTATGGTATATTTGACATTTTCCAAGGCACCCAATGAAAATGTTCACTTCCCTTGGTTCTAGATTTATTGATTACTTTGCTAAGAACTTCTGATACCCAACAGATTGCTATCCATAACTTGTTCTGTCCTGTGCAATTTGGACTGGAAGATAATACTGCTTAGTGCCTATTTCACCAAAGACCTCCATACGGCTTACAGTTCATTGAAAGCTCAACAGTATAGCACAGGTGTGAAACTCAGGAATGACTGACACAACCACATTACTCCACAAATTATTTACTGAAATATGCATAATCATTTCCTAAAGCATCTTAGCACAAGATGCAATAAAAAAATAATAATAAAGCAACGATCAGTACAAATTACAGATCTGTTTTTGCAACCAAGAGCTTTGGTGAATTCACTTGGTGTGGGAATTGAAATCTGTGATGAAACAGATTCAAGCTCCTGGCAGGAGAGCATTAATATGTCTGGGTGATACAACGAAAAATTTCTGACTTGTATCTCCAGATAACATGGTGCTCCCATCTTCTCTTGGCAGATCTTAATTCTTGGAAAGAGGTATGGCCACGGAGGTTCCATTCAAGACTTTGAATGCCATCACTGATATTTTCTCTCAGACTAAAAGCATACTGTTAGCTGGTACAATTTCTTTAAATCTTTGAGCTAGCAATATGGAAATCGAAATAGGTTTTTCACACTCTTTCTTTTGTATTTTATTGCTGACCTTGTTAGCTTCAGTTTGTTCCTCCAATTCAAGTCTCCCTTTTAATGCAGGATCAGTCAGTTTGCATAGTTTCAGTGCTAAAGGCTGATCCTATTCAAATGGTCTATCCTTTTCCAAAAGTTAATAATGTGTTGAAACTTGCCCTTCCATTTCCTAAACATTTCTCCCTCTGCAAAAGAATATATATATATATTTCTATTGTATTCCTCAGGATGCTTCAGGATGTCCTTTAATGATGTCTCAGGGTTACTATTTTTTTTGCTGGGAGTGCAAGATACCGGCACTTTTATTATTTAATTAAAAACTTCTTCACTCTGACACCTCGTCTCCTTGTCCTAGCTAATGCAAGAAATAACCTCAGGGTGTCTCCCATTGGGAAGACATGGAAGCTACAAAGCAAGGAAGCTACAGGGAAAGAGAGTTCACACACAAATTCCTTCTTACTTAGCACAAGGTTCCTGAACCCATGTCGTCCTTTGAGACTCTCGCCCAGGTTTCCTTTAATCTTAAGGGAAAAGAATTTCTTTCCCCTCAAATTAAAGCAGAATGGTTGGCAAAGGGCAGGAAATACATTCAGCGGAACACCAAACATAATAACCGGTTCTTTGCTTTCTTCTGCAGACAGTTGTCCGTGATGGCAAGAGAGAAAGCATCATGAGCACCCTGTTTGTCTCTCCATCTGACATCGAGAATGGCCAAATCATCATCTGCCGAGCTACCAACAAAGCGGTTCCAAGTGGAAAAGAGACTTCAGTCACCATTGACATCCAACGTGAGTGTGATGGAGTGGGTGCATCTTTTTCTGTCCGTTTTTGCATTTTATTCCACAGTATTCACACTATCAAAGGTGTGTTTTTTTTTCTCAAAAGGCAACTAGACATTCTGTGTTTGTTTGTTTTTATTTGAAGACGTTTCACTTCTCATACAAGAAGCTTCATCGGTTTCAGACCATTTACACACGGATTTCATACCTATTTACACATTGAGTCAGCTGACCTTGAGATAAACCCTCAAGTGGCCTCAACAATTCTCTCAGGGAGAGTGATAACGACCAGATGATTGCAAAGAATATATGATTCTTCCATCCCCTTCCCATACCTGTCAAAATTAATCCTTCCATCTTGCCAGGGGTGAAATTCAGCAGGTTCTGACAGGTTCTGGAGAACCGGTAGTGGAAATTTTGAGTAGTTTGGAGAACCGGCAAATACCACCTCTGGCTGGCCCCAGAGTGGGGTGGGAATGGAGATTTTGCAGTATCCTTTCCCCAGGAATGGGGTAGAAATGGGGATTTTGCAGTATCCTTCCCCTGCTATACCCACCAAGCCATGCCCACCAAGCCACACCAAGCCATGCCCACAGAACCGGTAGTAAAAAAAATTGAATTTCACCACTGCATCTCGCCCATCATCCTGCCAGAACCAATGAAGCTTCTTGGATGAGAAGTGAAATGTCTTCAAATAAAAACAAAGAAAGAAAGTCCAGTTGCTTTTTGAAAAAGCACCTTGGAGACAACCATGACCTGGATGACTGAGAATCTCTGCAGATGCTCACACTGTATGGAGAGGGAGTCACAAATGAGGTTACCTATATATTTATTGTGGTCTATCCTCTTTTACCTAATCCAATTAACATAAAAATTTATTGGAGAATTACTAACACCCTCAACCCCCTGTAGCTCCCAGATATTTGGGAGGTGGGAGAGGAAGAAGGGAAGGGAGCTTGGCAGTTAAACTGGGACACCAAATCTATGTGAGCATGTCTGTGTATGCACACGCTAATTTAATTGTCTCCTTGTTTGTTGTTGAAATCGATCAGCAGAACAATGCAGAAAGGAATGCATTGAGGTGACAGCAATGCCAAACTTCCTCTCTTTTTTTATGGTTGGGCATGGTTCTGTAGGAGATGGTTGATGAATTCTCAAGGGTTTTCAGTAATGTAAGAGACAGAGAGTAGAAATAAGGAATTTGTCTTCGCCTTGATGGAAAAGAAACATAGATTTCCGCATCATCGATTTTTTTTTTCCTAGTTAAGAATAAGGCTTTAGAAGATGCCAGAACATGTCTTATATTATTGAACACCCAACAACTAGCAAACTTTTGGTGTTATTATAACATTCTGTAGTTTGCCCAGGAGGAATGTTTACAATGCACATATTCTTAGGGCATTCATGATACATGTACTGAAGCTGTATAGGGGAGATCATAATAAATTGCTTCTTCTTGTTTACTTGAAGAAATTGAATGTGCTGCACCTCTCCCCGCTCCCCAAAAAACTCCAAAATGACATATGGGAAGTTGCTACTATTTGAATCAATTCACTCCTAGTGAGCAGTCTTTCACTGGTCAGTCATCACGGCCGAACGAATCTTCTCAGCCGCGTCGAAATGCAAGGCAGTTGTAGCCTAAATAATTTAGTGTTTGCAATGGCTAGCAGTTATTGCCAGATGAATTGCCAAGATTCAAAGCATTCTGGAAATGAAGGTCTAGGGAGACCCAGAAAGGGCAAAGGGGAAGGTATGTTGCTGAGTTTACAGGTCTTGATGGCACTGTGCTTCGTTGTTATTAAAGTGGGGGAAAACTTTCAGAGAGGGGTTAATAATGTAATTTAGCTGGCTTAAGCTTAAATTGCTGAGAAGTGGTCTCAAGTCAACTGTTGAGAGAGAAACAACATAGTAGCTTCCAAGTGGAGTAAATAGGATATCAGCCCAGAACAATGGACACCGACATGGGAAGAAGCTCAGAGGAAATTATGGATGTACAGCAGCATTATTAAATGAGAAGGTGTGAAAGTCTTTTTAAGCAGCAAACAAGGCTTGCTTTAATGGTTATAACCTGTGGACAGAGTATGCTCGCATCACGAGTAAATAAGTAGACTTTTCATTAAATTAAATTAAATTAAATTTAACAAATTTTTCAGCTCTGGATGGCTTACAAATTTGTATAACATTCAAAAATAAGCAACAATTATAAAAATACAGAAACAATACAAGACAAAGGAACAATGATGCCAAAGGAAAACAAAGCTGAATGGGAACAAGAAAAAGAAAGGAAGGAAGCATCCTTGACAAGGCCGGGATGGAGAGCCACATTTTTAGGACCTTTTGATATACCAAAAGGGTGGGGGACCTTTCAAATCTTAGGGTGCAGAGGACAGATTCTTAAAAATTCAGGGAACTATTCGGAGAGGTTTCTGCCCTGAAAGTAGCATGCCATGCTACTGCCATGTTGAACTTCCTGGCACTCTTAAATATGAGGAAGTGACCACAGGAAATGTTTAATTACTTTTTGTATTAAGCCATAAAATGCTTCATGGTCCTTTTTGCATGTCATAAAATATTTTCTACAACTTGCCAAATTTCAGTTCCACAGGAACGTCTCCTGGATTTTGTGTGCATTGTGTCAGTTAGCCAATTTGAAAAAGTTGGTTGAAAATTCCTTGCACCATTTTGCCCAGTTAAAAGTTACAGACACAAAGGTGCTTCTTTTAAAAGGCAACTGGGCTTCTTTTGTTTTTTTTGAAGATGTTTTGCTTTTCATCTAAGCAGCTTCTTCATTCTGACTGAATGGTGGAGAATGGAAGGATTTATATTCTTTGCAGTTATCTGGTTATCTTATCCCTCTATCTGAGGGACGTTAAGGCCACTTGGAGATTTGTTTGTGTCCTCCAAACAGCCTCAATGACTCTTAGAGAGAGTCATTGGATGAGAAGTGAAACATCTTCAAGGAAAAACAAAGAAAGAAGCACCTTTGGGACAACCATGACCTGGATGACTGAGAATCTCCATAGACAATTACAGAAACAAGAAATTTTAGAAGTATATAAATAGGATAGCATTCCAAATTGAAAATGAAGCAGGATTGCTGAATCAGAAGCAGGCATTCCTGATGAGCATGTAACATGTCAACTACCTTCCAGTGTGAAAGGGGTGAAATGTACTTACCTTTCCTACCGGGCCACTAATGTGCATGCACCATGCAGATGGTCAAAACCGGGACATGACAATGTCCCAGTTTGGGGGGCGGAGCCTCCCACCACCACGCTACCAGCTCTCCTAACTACCCACAACCGGTGCTACCTGCTCCCGCGAGCCAGATAGAGCTGGCAGCATTTCACCCCTGCAGTGATTCCATAAAAATAGGATAGGAAAATTTAATGAGTGAGATTTATTGATTGGGGAAACCTTGTGCAAAATTGGCCATTCTTCTTTAGACCAATGGAAACTACCACTCTAGCATAGTCATTCTAGCTTTTTCCATACATTGATGTTTCAAATATTGGTAGTCTCAGTTTGAACTGATGTTGCTTTGAGTAGCAATGCTGCAAGGGATGAATGGCGTGAGAGCTGAATTTGTTCTTTGAACCAATAACCACCCTCATTACTTTACAGAAATAATATTTCTTCATGGTTGAAAGGACATCATAAATATCTACACGTACTAATACAAGTCACCTACGTTCTGCATCTTTCAAGGAGGACAGATTAAGGGGAAATTCATTTTATATAAATGTAACATGGGTGGCTGAAATAAATCACTGGGGCTCAAAATGAAAGTAGTCAATATGAGCCTTTAAGGTAAAGGTAAAGGTTCCCCTCACACATACGTGCTAGTAGTTCCCGACTCTAGGGGGTGGTGCTCATCTCCGTTTCAAAGCCGAAGAGCCAACGCTGTCCGAAGACGTCTCCGTGGTCATGTGGCCGGCATGACTAAACGCCAAAGGTGCATGGAATGCTGTTCCCTTCCCACCAAAGGTGGTCCCTATTTTTCTACTTGCATTTTTTATGTGCTTTCGAACTGCTAGATTGGCAGAAACTGGGACAAGTAACAGGAGCTCACCCCGTTATGCAGCACTAGGGATTCGAACCGCTGAACTGCTGATCTTTCGATTGACAAGCTCAGTGTCTTAGCCACTGAGCCACCATGTCCCTTTCAATTACCTGTCATTAAACAGCAGAGGACCTCCAGCTCTTCATCCCACCCAGCTCTCCAAAAGATGAACCTGAGCTTTGTTACAGAGAGTGAGCAACTCCAGCTGAAACATCTGTTCAAAGTGATTTTCATACCATCAGCCATATCAAAGCAGGCCTCCTGTGAGTAATGTGCCAAACATCACAAGTGGGATTAAAATCATGTTTAATGGCTTTATATGCCATAAACTATTTATATAGCTAAAGCCCAGGGGCTACATGGAAAGCACATCCTGTGTGCCAGGATGGAGCAAACTGGAGGGGACAGGGTTTTTTGTTTTTTTTTTTAGTCTTCTTGCACTGCACCGATAGCTTTCTTCTGCTCTGCTCACACTCTGTGTTTAAGTTTGCAATATCTTCAGAAATCAGAAGTTTGTGAGAAATGGTAAACCCACTCTATTGTCTGTGCCACAAAACATTGGCAGTATAAATCTATAAAGCCTTAGTAAGACCACACCTAGAGTACTGCATCCAGTTTTGGTCACCACATTATAAAAAAGATGTTGAAACTCTAGGAAGAGTGCAGAGAAGAGCAACCAAAATGATTAGGGGACTGGAGGCTAAAACATATCGTGAATGGTTGCAGGAACTGGGCATGGCTAGTCTAGTGAAGAGAAGGACCAGGGGAGACATGATAGCCGTCTTCCAATACTTGCGGGGCTGCCACAGAGAGGAGGGGGTCAAGCTATTCTCCAAAGCACCTGAAGACCAGACAAGGAACAATGGATGGAAACTGATCAAGGAGAGATTCAACCTGGAAATAAGGAGAAATTTTCTGACAGTGAGAACAATCAACCAATGGAACA